CATGCCTTTCCTTATGTATTCATTCTGGAAGATCACTCAACTCTGGCTCTCGGATGAGATTAAAAACATTATTAAATCCGTTACCGGAGACGAGATATTCAATTACATATCACCGGAAAATATTCCTGAATTCATAGCCGGAGGCAAATGCATAGAAAGCATACAACGGATCCCCGAAGGCGTCAAACGAGCGGAACAATTGCCACACTTTCACTTCACTGACGCTCAGCTCAAACACATCCGAACCATCTTTAATATAACCGTCGATGAGATATCAAATGAAACTGAAAACAACAATCAATGATTTGTGTTGTCATTTAGGTTTAGGTTTTTAGGCTAATTCTTACCTTTATATCAAATATTTTAGCAATTCATTGACATTAATTTTAATTATGTATTTAAAATACTTTTAAACCAGAAATATAATCTATAATATAACAATTTACCACTTTATAATTTGTAGTGTATTAACAAAACAGTTGATTCAATACAGTATAACCTTTAAATTTTGTATAATAATCAAGAATTTGCAACAAATTAACTAAATTTTAAAATAAAATCAAAGACGAAAACAATTAAATAGAATTAACTTTATTTCGAGATTTAAATAGAGAATTAGTCGACACTTTAAATCACTATTTGATCGACAATTAAATACAATTGCTTTTGTGACATAACATTACATTCAAACTTCATTGTAAAGGCACTCCGTGTCTGTCCGACTCAACGGTTAAAAATATAATCATTTAACAAATGAATTAAGAGTTTCGTACATAAAATGGAAAGTATGTCAATAAATATTTAAAAACATATCAATCATTTGACTGTAAAATAGGGATAAATCTGAAAAAAATGAATTATTGTAAACAAATGAATAGTTATATTGTCTAATAATTAAAGGCATGTATTATGTAATTATAGTTATTTTTCATTTGATGAATGTATTGGCTGTGAAAATGCAAAAACAAGCCCTTTATAGCGTTAATTCAAAGTCCAATCATTAAAATGTGTTTTTTATATACCATTACATTATCTGTTAAATCATTTGACTCTCTATTTAAACATTGAGTTTGAGATTTGATTTCCTCTTAATTGAATTGCATTGAAAGCCTTCACTTCTAACTCTCCCTCACATTCAATACTATTCACACTTTTTTGCCAATTAATACTGAACTGTATTTTCAGGTGTTTTTTTACAAATAATAGTCTTTTTGTTAATAATAATTGCAAACATTTATTCCTTGGCTTGACTTTGATTTCACAATAGAGTCGTTAGTGATTTGCCAATCAATACATATATTTATTTGATATTTAATTACAATTATTTGAATAAATAATTCAAAATATTGAACCAAAACCACTCGATATGTCTGTTATTAGTGATATATACCAGAAAGAGACGACTAAACCGATCGCAATCAGAGCCGAGATGAGAGACCAGGCGTACGATATCTGCCGCAAGTTCTTGAGCGGGGAGTGGAATAAGATATCCAGCAATGATATGGTCTTCAAGACAGTCAGGTATGCGATCTCATTGTTATTTTTTGCTCTCCTTTTTCACTTGACATTCATTTTTTTCTATAAATATATTTATTTTTATATTAAATATATTGTAATGTATTATAAAATCCATTAAAAATTCTATAAATAATTATTAATGTGTTGTTTGTTTGGAATGTTTTAATTATTTAATGATTCCTTTCATTAATTATCTCACTATTGATTTGATGCTCTCTTTTCTTACATATTTAATACGAAATGCTATTTAATATCTAATATTTGAGTTTATATTCCTTATATTTATGATACACTTTATTCCTGTATTTAACTTCAATGATAACCACATATCATATCATTCTTAGAAAACTCGCCACTATTTTATTGAACTCCTTATCAGTGCTTGAATTGCATGAATTGAATAACAAGAATGCATTGCAATTATAAACCAATATATGGTATGATTTTAGTTTGAATTTAGATATGATATCATTTAAATAATATCATAATTATATAACATAATACATAACGCACTAACTGTTACACAACTATAGGGTAGTGAAAGGATAAGGCTGTCCACACGTGTCGGTCGTCTTTCATACGACACTTTTATTTGTTTCAATTTATGCTTTAGTTTCTAATTTTGTTCATAGAATAAATTAGGTCTACATTTTCTTTATACTCTCTCTCTCTCTCTCTCACTCTTTTTTTCTCTCATATTCAAAGGGTTGGTATTCAAGGCTAGCCAACGGTGCCATCAAATCAAAGCAAAATAAACAATATTTTAACAATTCATTGCATAACAATTTTGAGACTAACTTAAATATATTTATAGAAAAAAATGAATGTCAAGTGAAAAAGGAGAGCAAAAAATAACAATGAGATCGCATACCTGACTGTCTCTCTCTCTCTCTCTCTCTCTCTCTCGATGTATATGTGATCTACTTTTATGAATAAATATTTAAGTTTTGAATATATTTATGTTAAACAATATGTTATTTTAGACCTACTATTGGCACCAAATATAGCTTCTCTCTACACATACACGATATCAACACTTAATATAAATATATCGTATTTTAAGTGCTTTTGATGTCAAATGTATTGCATTTAATGTTTAAAATAATGCTTATTCTTATGAATTACGAGTTTTATGTTTTGCAGACATTGAAGGCAACAAAAAAAATGCATTTAATAATAACTAAAACCCACTGTATTGAGTAAGAGCCACAAAAGTTAGTCTCAAAATTGTTATGCAATGAATTGTTAAAATTTTGTTTATTTTGCTTTGATTTGATGGCACCGTTTGCTAGCCTTGAATACCAACCCTTTGAATATGAGAGAAAAAAGAGTGAGAGAAAAGTTAGTCTCAAAATTGTTATGCAATGAATTGTTAAAATTTTGTTTATTTTGCTTTGATTTGATGGCACCGTTTGCTAGCCTTGAATACCAACCCTTTGAATATGAGAGAAAAAAAGAGTGAGAGACAAGTGAGAGTGTAATGACAATAATGCCAATGAATATCAAGGATTTTAATCGCGTAAAACAATGAATGAACAAAATTTTGATGACTTTTCTCCCCCTTTAATATATGATCCCTTTGTGTAGCGGAGGACTCAGTAATTATCTGTATTACTGTTCGCTGCCGTCGACTCACACACCGCTGAATGGCGAGCCGAGTCAAGTGCTGCTCCGTATGTACGGCCAACTCCTCGACGGAAACGATACTAAAGTAACCGATTCTGTAATAACAATGTTATTGTCTGAACGAAACTTAGGGCCAAAACTGTACGGAATATTTCCCGGCGGACGACTCGAAGAATACATTCCCGTAAGTAAACTCAGCTTTGATTTAATTTTATATCTTGTGTGCAAATTGCAGACCAATAGACAAGTTTCTGTATTGGATGTGCTTTTAATGAGCAGTTATGCAGACAAACTCTGTCCTGACAACTGGTGTCCCAAAACCTATCGTTTGTCTGCACTTTTTGCGGCCAATCATTAGGATTGACAAGTAGTGAGGATATCGTCATAATTGTTATTAAAAATGCAAATTTTGTTTTTGTTTTGATTGAAGATATGTTTTAAAGTTCTCTCTTTCTCTCAATTTTTCTCTTATAACCACTTAATTGAACCAAAAAACTAAAGGCTCGAGCGATGTATTGCTCAGAACTAAAGATCCCGACCTATTCCGAGGCCATCGCCAGAAAGTTGGCCACTGTTCACGTGCTGGACGTACCCATCAATAAGGAGCCCACGTGGCTCTACGAGACGTTTGACCAATGGCTGCACTCTGTGCTCAATCCGGACACCAATACCAGCGGACAGACGCCGAACCCTGAAATTGAGGCCAAATTGTTGTCGTTTGACTTCACAACTGAGATAAGATGGTTGAAACAACTGTTGGCCAGTTGTGATTCGCCGACAGTCTTCTCCCACAACGACCTCCAAGAGGGCAATATATTGCTTCCGGAGAGCTCTTCCGTCGAGTCGTTTGACGACCGAATCGTATTCATTGACTTCGAGTTCTGTGCCTATAATTATCGGGGCTTTGATTTGGGGAACCATTTCTGCGAACGTATGTTTGATTACTCGAACCCAGAGTTCCCGCACTACTACTCATATATGGATGCCTTCCCGGAGGACTCCGAGAAACGGCTGTTCGTCAGAGAATATATGAGAAATTCAAAGGATTTGACGAATGATAAGCAAACCGAAGACCAACTGCTCAAAGAGGCCGACTATTTCGCGCTCGCGTCACACTTACTGTGGACTCTGTGGAGCATTAATAACGCCCGCACTTCCAAAATAGAGTTCGGATATTGGGTTTGTGTTCACTCTTTTAGATTTGTTTAGCCATTGTTTGTATCGATTTGTGATTTTAATGTGTGTTTTTTGCTGAACAATAGGAATACGGATTGACACGACTTACCGCTTATGGAAACCACAAGAAACAGGTGCTGAGGAAGTACTCGACCAACACTTACAACAATATCCTGTAGAATATATAGCGGCTAATGATTAGTAGATTAGAGAAGAATTTTCTATAAAATTGTTGACAAATGGATTATTTTTTACAAGAAATTTCTTTTAATAGAAATGTTACTCTTTTTTTGTAAAGACAAAACCTCGTCAAAAAAAATGTACTCAATTTTATCGGTACTTATTGTTAAACTCTATTCAATGATTATTTTGTAATTTTAATGAGTTTTATGGCTTTGATATTATTTGATACTTGAAGTCATGTATGGATTGTGTGATTTCATTGTTACGGCAATACTTGTTGTGAACCATTAATTATTTTTCATGTAATTTTATTTTCCGTTCATTGAAATCAGATATTAATTTATTTTTTACCAATTATTTACTCTATTTTTTCAGATTTATCCCTATTTTACAGTCAAATGATTGATATGTTTTTAAATATTTATTGACATACTTTCCATTTTATGTACGAAACTCTTAATTCATTTGTTAAATGATTATATTTTTAACCGTTCAGTCGGACAGACACGGAGTGCCTTTGCAATGAAGTTTGAATGTAATGTTATGTCACAAAAGCAATTGTATTTAATTGTCGATCAAATAGTGATTTAAAGTGTCGACTAATTCTCTATTTAAATCTCGAAATAAAGTTAATTCTATTCAATTTCAGTTTTCGTCTTTGATTTTATTTTAAAATTTAGTTAATTTGTTGCAAATTCTTGATTATTATACAAAATTTAAAGGTTATACTGTATTGAATCAACTGTTTTGTTAATACCTGTACAGTACAAATTATAAACTGATAAATTGTTATATTATAGATTATATTTCTGGTTTAAAAGTATTTTAAATACACAATTAAAATTAATGTCAATGAATTGCTAAAATATTTGATATAAAGGTAAGAATTAGCCTAAAAACCTAAAAACTTAAACCTAAATGACAACACAAATCATTGATTGTTGTTTTCAGTTTCATTTGATATCTCATCGACAGTTATATTAAAGATGGTTCGGATGTGTTTGAGCTGAGCGTCAGTGAAGTGAAAGTGTGGCAATTGTTCCGCTCGTTTGACGCCTTCGGGGATGCGTTGTATGCTTTCTATGCATTTGCCTCCGGCTATGAATTCAGGAATATTTTCCGGTGATATGTAATTGAATATCTCGTCTCCGGTAACGGATTTAATAATGTTTTTAATCTCATCCGAGAGCCAGAGTTGAGTGATCTTCCAGAATGAATACATAAGGAAAGGCATGTTATTTAGTAACACATATTTGAAACCTTTGGGAAAGTAATTCTGGAGGACGTCGACAATGAATTGCGAGAAATCCATGTCTACGTTAGATAAGCCGCTGTTAGTGCTGTCGCAGACCAGAACCCATTGGCCGTCGACTGATGTATCGATTTTATTGACGTTATGCACAAAAAACTCTTTCACGTATTGAGACAATTCGTTGACCTTATGGTGACAACAGACCCGCACGAAGAGTATGGGAAGTCCTTCTTTGTCGCTGTTATACTCAAAAATGGCACCGATTTTGTAGAAGTCGTCGGGAAAGTAGTCATCGGTGCGAGTGTTGACACCGAAACTCTTCCTCCACTTCATGGCATCCGTTAACTTCTTGTGCGCCAATTCTGTGTCCATTTTATGAGATATTAGAAATCGCTTTACAGTCCAATCGGATTCACGCACTCTCTGGACATCGCACTCGTCGTACAATTCATTGTCTGACTTATAGTTCTCTAAAAACTTTTCTCTCAAACTTTTAATTTTATCGTTGATTTCATTATTCTGTTCGTTGTTTTCGGACATTGTTTTGAGAGAAAAATATGTTACAAACAATTTATACTGAATATCATTGAAAATGCGATTAAATTTCACTAAATGGCTCTCATTTAACGTTAACAGTAAATACGAGTTGCAAAATGTGTACGTTTTGCCAGTGTTTCCATAATAACGCTATCATTAGTTTTAATTTAATCTAAACATTTAAATGTATATAAATATAAATGTGATTAAAAATATGTTTCCATTTCTTTGGATAACACATTTCCATACGTTTTGAGCGAACACTTGCTTTCTATCAAGAAATTTCACTCTATTATCGTTTCTGTCATTTAAGTAAATAAATTTGTTTATTCAGTAAATGCTGTTTATTATAAGTTAATTACAAGTGTCTCATATTTAAAATAACACGAATAACACATATAAATAAATCACATTTAATATAAAAATCTGAATGATATGTAAATAAAATAAGATATAAAATGCAAATTGAGATATGATTTGTAAATATATTTAGTCTAATTTCCTCGACGTCTGGGATTGTCTTTTTGAATAATCTGCAAATCCGTCTAATCCTTCAAATTTCTTTAAATCAAAACCATTTCCATCGATAGTTAGCGTTGAGATCTTGGATTCACTTAAAATAGGTTTTGTAAACGCATTCAAAGGCAAACAATTATTACTTAATCGCAAAACTTTCAAACGTTTGCATTTGGATATGCCTTCAGACAAAACAGAGACTTTGTTTTGATTTAAATTCAGTTCCAATGCATTTAAGTCTTTGATGTCATTATCTATTTCAGTGATGTTATTGTCGGACAAATCGATGAAATTAATTCTTTTCAAACGAATCAATACTTTTGGAAATTCATTGATTTTGTTATGCGATAGAGAAATGGATCTCAGACTTGAAAGTCCCTCAAAAGTGGTGGGAATTTCAGTGATCTTATTATTATTTACGGACAATATTTCTAGTCTTTGCAAACTTCCCATCTCTTGAGGCAAAGCATCCAATTGATTGGTATTCATGAAAAATTGCCTTAAATTTACAAATTTTTCAATAAACTCCGGAATCGTTGCGATTCCGTTATTTGACAAATCAATTGAACGCAAACTTGAACTCAATTCGGATATATCTGGGAATTGATTCAAATTATATGCAGACAATTGCAAAATTCCTGTTTTCGTTGCGTTCTTCAGCTTTGCATCCAATGAATTGTCTGTGTTTTGAGGCATTTGTTGGCTTTTGTTAATATCATTGTTGTGTTCAACAAGACTTAGTGCCTCAACGTCTTTGCCTATTGTCTTCTCTATCATACTTATCATACAGTAATAGAAAACAACAAAAGACATTATAAGAATTACTAGCACTGAGAGTATAACTAAAATGATAATAATTGGTGACATTATAACTCAAATGCTGTGTATTTTTGTATATATTATCTTGTTGTTTGACAACAGTTTTGTAACAATTAATAATTTCGGTTAATCTTATTTTGAAAACACCATTCAATTCATTGCTTTGCATATATTTCTCACAATAATAAGCAGACCGTAATTGTCTCGCTATTTATATAATGACAATACATTTAATTAGGGAATTATAATAAACATGTTTACGACTATTTTGTGAATATTTCTCTATCAAAACAATAATTATAATTCAAATGTAATCCAAATGAGCGTAATTAGGATATAAACTACTATTAATGTGTTGGCGCACATCCTTATCCTTTATCCCACATATCATTCAAATTTGTCTAAAAAATAGTAATAATTGTTATTCAATTCAAAGCCAAACACCAATACCTAGAAATACGGAAATTATAATAATCTGTTGTATAAAACAATATGATTGCAAATTTTCCCTTATTTTATATGTCATAAATCAATTACACAAATATTTTAAACACATAATTTTAATATTTGTCGTGAAAAATGTTATTTTATATACTATTTCTATTATTTTCAGGTAGAATTAACACTCGTATTATGAAATACAAACATTGATTTTTGTGTAAAATCTCTCAAAACTTAAGGTTTGGTTTCAATCGAGTCTAAAGAGGAAGAGGAATGTGTTTTGAGAAAATTGCGAGAATGCAGTCAAACATATAAAATAAATCTACAATTTTATCCCTCGGATCTCAATCATCTCAAACAGTATTGCAGGTAATTATCGATTACATAAAACTTAATGTCCAAAAACTAGACATATATTTGACTTTTGATTGTAATGTCAGAGATATCGAGCAAAACGACGAGTGCTATAGAAATGTGTTTAACGAATGCATTACCAGTAAAGGCAACAAAGATGTCATAATAAGTCGGATGAATGAGTTCTCGTCTCCGCATTTCAGAGATATCTGTATTTATAACTCCACTTATAGTA